AGGAATTGTAATCAATGTAATGAAACAAGTTATATGAATTGTTGAATGTGAAACTGATGATGTGCCCTGTAAACTTTCACTCAATCCACAATAAAAATCTTAAATTAAAAAAAAAAAGATCAGTTAGCCATGCAGATGTTTGAGGATAAGTATTCAAGGTAGAGGAAACAGCCAAAGCCCCAAGGCAGGCTCATGTCTGGAGCAAGTCTGAGGATGACTAAGGAGGATGGTGGGCTGGAGGGGAGGGAGTGAGCAGTAGTAGATGAAGCCAGAGAGGAAAAAGTCAGAGGAAGTAGATAGAGCCTTGGAAGCTACTACAAAGGGTGTTAACTTCACTATCAGGGTAATGGGCAGGTTTCCTAACACAGGAGTGGCAGGATCTGATTTACATTTTAAAAAGATCACTCTACCTGCTGTGTTTAGAACAGGCTGTAGGAAGCAAAATTAGCCCCAGTGAGAGATGATGGTCATCACTTAAAACTGAGTAAAAAGGATATCTTTTGAATTGAATCTGAAGAGTTAGAGGAAGAGGATTCAAAGAAGACTCCAAAGTTTTTGGCCTCAGCAATCAGCAAGGATGGACTGGGGAAGGGAGATAGTTCACTTTTAGACATGTAGAGGTTGAAATGACTATCAGTCATTCAAGTGGGCACATCAATTAGATATACTTGTCTGTGGTCTGGAAAAGAGATCAGGTTTGGAGAAAGAAATCTGAAAGATGGTTTAAAGCCTTAAAACTGGATAATATCACCAAGGCAATTTATGTAATGTATGTTGTAGAGTCCTGGTATAGTGCTGTAGGATAAGATTGAACTGCTAACCACAAGATTGGTGGTTCAAACCTACCAGCAGCTCCTAGGAAATGCTATACAGTGTCACTATGAGTCAGAACCGACTCGACGACACATGTTCTAATTGGGGAGTTAAGACACAATTTGCTGCAATAGACCATAGCAGTGAGATAAGGATATAGAACAAGACGGTATTAAAACGAGGTGCAGACAAAAGATTATAGTTCATTCTACTTGAGTAGAGGAGTGAAGGATTCACAGAAAGTATGGCATTTAAGCAGAGTCTTGAAGGCTTTGCTAAATGGAGACGTGGGTAAGATATTTCAGAGAGGGAGAAAGTGGCCTAAGTATTTTTTAAAAATCAAAATCAGTTTTATTATTTATATGATTAATATGTTTACATGAATATTTGACTGTATATTTCTGTTACTCTATCTGTTATAGAAGGAGCTCTGGTAGCATAGTGGTTACGAATCGGGCTGCGAACTTTAATGTCAGTGGTTCAAAACTACCAGCCGCTCCACGGGAGAAAGATGAGGCTTTCTACTCCCGTAAAGATTTACACCCTCGGAAACCCTGTACAGGGTC